TTTGAACTTTGAAGAATCCAATGTTCAGAGGAGGAGTGGACTAGGGGATGAGGAGAGGTGGGGAGAAGGGAATGAGAGGACAGTAAGGAGCAAAAACTGTAGAGATGTAAAATAAATGAATAAAGCTAATTAGAAGAAAGTAATCCGATGTTATAACCTTCTCTAACTCGTTCAGATGCCAGGATTTTACCTCTTTCTGGCAGAGAGAGGTAAATGTAATCTCCAAGCATAGCAATGTGAAGCTTTAGAGTATTCTCATGTTAATTCACCGAATTTCACAATAATCTGCAAACCCTGGGAAATGCAGTGACAAGCAAGCCTCTAGCACCATCTGTTGACTGAACGCTTCACTTTCACAGGCAAACCACATGCATTTCTAGATTGAAGAATACCTTTCTTCCATTTTTTTTACTTGGTAAACAATGAAAACTTCAACCATTACGTCTGACAGTAATTGAAGCAAACAGAAATATCAGCAAGTTTATGCTTAATCTGGGTACTTGATGGTGCGTCTCCTGATTAACGGAAAACAGATCTTTATGTTAACAAAAGTCATCTGTCTAAGAGATATTTGAGCACACCAGCTGGTTATCTAATACCAAATGATCAGCCCTGAAAGCATATGTACAAGCAATATTATGCAGATTATATTTACATACACACATACATATATGCAAGTGAGACCCACTAATGTAAAAAAAAAGGGAGTTGAGTTTTAAAAACAGCAAGGGGGTGGTTTAAAGGGAGAATGGGAATGGAGAATTGATATAATTATGCTATACTCATAAAAATTTAACAAGAATAAGAGAAAGGAGTTAAATTTCAATGAGGAAGGAAAATAAAAAGGTTAAATATATGATTAAAGATTAATATATGAAGTATTAAAACAAAATAAGTAACTAAAATATAGAAATATAGTGAAAGAATAATGGAAAAGCCAAAATGGATAATAGAAAGCTAGATTTAAAAATTATTCAGGGATGTCCGCTAAGATGCTGGGAAAGAATTAAGAACAAACACTTCAGCAGCATCGGTGAATGTGATTAGAATGAAATTAACAGAATAGAATTTTAAGTTAACCTGTAACAGTTCTTTGAGAAGCTAAAAACATAAGGATGGGGAAAGGTTACTGAAAATGAAAAATGTAGAAATCTGGTCTCTAATCTTGAGCTACAAAAAGAAGAATTTAAGCCCCAATCATTAACCGTGTAATGGATTATATTTGTCAGGTTAAAATCCCCACCTGCCATTCCTGAAATCTATACAATCTTTGCATTGCTCCACTGCCCCTCTTCTATAAAGAATACATTAACTAACAATGTATACATTTATCATGAACTCAAAGTTCATCACCAGAATGTCAGCTTCTTTGATCAAACATCTCGGATGTTTTTTAAATATCAGTTTGTGTCAATTTTTAAGAAAATCTAATGCATTTTGGGAGCTCAATATATACTTGCTTAAATAATTGCTGATGAATTTAAATTTTTACTCTGTGAAACGATACTAGAAGTCCTGGATTTGCAGCTATGATGCAAGTACAAAGAGGATGCATTACTAACATTCAATAAAGTTTCCATTACTAAAATCCGTGGTTGGAAATCTAACTTTTCATCACTCAGAACCTGATAATATAGGTTTGAAAGTGTAAAACCCTCCCAATATGCTGCATAGAAAAAATTCATTAAATGCTTTAGTAAAAAACAAACTGTATTCAAAAACGCTTTCCCATTACATACAATTATAGACTCACAGAATGCTGGAGCATTAATGATAAAAATTATTACTATAATAAAATGCCATAAGATATATCCATTTCTAAAACATAAATTTATTTAGTTTACCTCCCAGCTACAGACTCTCCTCCCTCCTCTTCTCCCAGTTACTGCTCCACAGCCCCTCTGTTCCCACCCCTCAATCCACTCATCCTTTTCTGTTTAGGAAAGGGCATGTCTGCCATGAGTATCAACAAAATGTGGCATACCAAGTTATAGTAAGACTAAGCACCTCCCCATGTACCAAGACTGGACAAAGCAACCCAGTATGAGGAGTAGCATCCCGAAAGCCTGTAAAAGAGTTGGAGACAGCCTGTTTTTACTGTTAGGAGTCTCACAGAGGAGCTGTGGCACAACTGTAGCACACATGCAGGATGCCTAGCAGAGTCCCACACAGGTTCCTTGTTGTAGGTGCTGTCTTTGTGAGGCTGTATGAACCCATGTTAGTTGATTTGTGAGTTTTCTTATGGTGTCATTAACCCCTCTGGTTCCAACAATCCTTTATGACCCTTTTCTGAAGGATTCCCCGAGTTCTGCATAATGTTTGGCTGTGTGTCTGCATCTGTTTCCATCAGTTGCTGGATGACACCTGTCTGATGACAACTGAACTAGGCACCAATCTGGTCACAGAAGAAATCCAGTTCAGGCTACTTATCAATTATTGCTAGAAGTCTTAGCTAGGGTCATCCTTGTATATTTCTACCAATATCGTCTAACAACTGTACATGTCTAACTTTAGAGTTATGAGATTAAGTTGAAAAGCATTTATAAGTCTATATGAACTCACTGTCAATGCTCAATAAACAAAACATCTAGTAGACAGAGTCCTCATGTCATGTCAAAACTCAGAAATCATTATCATTATGTGCACTGTCTACTGTCACTACTGATCAAAAACAGGCTTCCCTACAAGACGAATGTACTGTTGTGGTCTTTCCAATATCAGACCTAGAATCATGAAATAATTTATAGTGTTAATGGTTCCCATTCCATATGTGCAGTAGAGCCAATGTGATTCTTGACACACAATTAGTGTACAAAAACAGGAACTGTGGATACTAGGGTTATCTGTCAAATCTACATGCTAACCTCTCTCTCTCCTTTTCCCTCTCTCCCTTTCTTCTTTCTTTATTTTTGGTAGTGAGTAACATTTTTATTAATTTTCAAAATAAATATAATCATATTACTTCTCCTTATCTGTATCCTCCCTCCAAACACATGTACCCCATTCCTGCTCAAATTGACATTCTTTGATTATTATTGTTACATAAGCATGTAAATACATAAATACAACATACTGAGTCAGGTTGGTGTAGCATTTATGTACATAATTTCAGTGTCATTACTTGGTATTTTATAACAAATTAGGGAGTTCATCTCTGGGCAAGGGTAATTCTTCCTCTCAGCAGACATTAGGTGCCTGTAGTTGTTTGTCTCAGGATCTGACCTCATGAGATTTTCAATTTCCACCACAGCATGACATTGTTGTGGCTCAGATCTTGTGCAGGCAGTCATATTACTGAGGTATCATGACTGGTGGATGGTGAGCCCAACCTCAAAAGATACAATTACAACACAACTCCTACACCTAAGCCTCAGGGAACATCAAGGGAAATGGAATAGAAAGAGTATAAAAGCCAGAGGATTGGGAAATTGGCTGCAAAATTGACATTTCCTAGTGTCTTGAACTTCCATGTTTGCTCTTGATAGGTTATACTGTGGTTTCTCAAGTAACTTTTTGCCCATCCCTTATCATTATGGTATTGCCTCTGACCCTTACACTACTTTTATATCTCTTCTGCAATGAGTTCTGAGACGTGAAAAGATGAGGGGTAGCCGGGCAGTGGTGGCGCACGCCTTTAATCCCAGCACTTGGGAGGCAGAGGCAGGCGGATCTTTGTGCGTTCGAGGCCAGGCTGGACCGATAGCCTCCGAAACAATACAGAGAAACCCTGTCTCGTAAAAACCAAAAAAAAAAAAAAAAAAAAAAAAAAAAAGAAAAGATGAGGGGTTATACAGATGCCCAGTTTGGACTGAGCAATCTGCAATCTCCCATTCTCTCCACTTAGACCAGCTATGGGTCTCTATGTTAATTACTATCTACTTCAAAATAGCTATTCTGATGAGGGCCGAGAGTTTCACCAATCTAATGATAAGCTGTTGGGTACTGGTTACATGTAACTTCCATTTAGCAGAGTAATAGTTGTAAGTTCTCCTTTAGGGTCTGTGGTTTACTCAGCCACATGCTTTTTACCCTAGTGACAATATCAGTATGGGTTTCACATTGCGGAATAAGCCTTAAAGGCCAACAGAAAATAATTGGTTACTCACAAAAGTTTTGTGTCCCCGTTCCCAGTGGAAAGGTTTGTCCAGATGATGGTTGTTGTAGTGTGCAGTGATCACAGATGGGCAAGAGTGGTAACTACCTTTTCCATCCTGAAGCATTGCAGAGTTCCTCCCAGGATTATGAAAGCTGACAAGTAGGGATGAAACTTCTAGGTCAGTAGCAGCTTTTATTTCTCCATGTTCTAAAACTCACGTCTGTAGTGTCCAGACTAGACAACATGAAATAACAAATAAAGAGCACAGCTCCAGTAATGCATTGCCTCTTTTGATAATGTTAACCAGTGATAGCCCAGAGACCCTATTGAATATGGTCTATTGTCAATTTTTTTAAATGTTATGGTGATAGGAATAATTATAGTTTTCCACTTAAAGCATTGGAGCCTACAAAAACAATAAGAATAACAACAAAAGAAAAACAGAAGCATGAAAATCAGAGTTTAGATTTCAGTTTACATTGTGTCCATTGAATGTGATAGTTAATTTACTGTCTAAATTCGGCCTTGGTTATCAGTCAGAGATCCAATCTGCTTTTAGTGCAGAAACAGAATATTTGGAAGAAATGTGAACATTTGTTTTACTTCTAGAAAAGTGAACTTAACGGATATCCTCTAAAGACCAAATCTAGGCATGGAGGAGATGGCATAGTTGGTAACAGCACTTTTTCTATGAAAACCTGAGTTTCATTGCTCGATGTCCCCGTAAAAACCAAGCATGAAGCATCTATATCCTCAGCATTGAGGGGGCTAGCACAGACAAGCAGATCCTGGGAATTTGCTGGCCATTTAGCCTAAATGCAATAGGAAGTTTCAGGTTTAGTGTTTTAGATACTCCATCTTAAAAAAAAAAAGACAAGATGAATAGAAATAAAGATGACCAAGTCTTTCAACATCTGTATGTGCACACACACACACCCCACTAGGAAAAGAATGAAAATAAGAATTAAGGTCAAACCAAACACCCTTACTTGCCATAGGCCAGACTAGGCAATACAACAATCATGCTTGCTGCCCTAGTCTTCTGGAAGCTAAGAAAGGTGTATTGTGACATCAAGACTACACTGAGACTGTCTCACAAAAGGGAGTGGACTAGAGAGATGACCCAGTGGTTAAAGCGCACCAGACTATTTCAGAGAAACTGAGTTCAGTTCCTATTACCCACACTTGGTAGCTCACAACCACCTGCACTTCCAGCACTAGAGGATCCAACATGTTCCAGCTTCTTTGTACCTCTGCAGTCCTGTGGACATACCTCTTCTTCACTCACACCACACATATATGGGTAACTAAATGTAAAATAAAATTCAGAAATAATAGATGTAATTAAGCGAAATCATCTTCAAAACAATGCCTTAAACTGGCAATGTAGTTTAAGATAAAGGTTCTGTGATTCCAGAAACTGAGCAGAGAACTACGCAGTATTAGTTCAACAAAGCTCATTCTAATGGATTTGCACACTTGGTGAAAGGAATAGGAGGAATTCTGTAAGGTAGGGGAGGACATTCTAAATTAGAGGAATTAGAAGTCTCTTTAGGATGCTTGGTATGTCACAAAAATATTCAGGACTACTGTGGCTGTTGTGACAGCAATGTGAAACCATTCTAACAAGTTTAGGATCTTAAATAGAGAAAGGATCAGCGTTAAAGAACAAAGATATATCAAAGGTGATGTAAGTGTGTGAGAGACGGCAATAATGGAGCTTTAGCTTTTGTGTTATTCCAATCCTGTCAAATATTAACAGTTTTCCTAGAATAGGGATTTAGTTGGTCATTCAGCATCACATGATTTAAGGTTTGTGAATGCACAGCAAACGTAAGGACTATTTGGTTCTTGCCTCCACTATTATACTATTTTAAATTATTTTTCAGGCCCAAAACTACATTTTACAATATGTGTTAAACTTTGCAGGAAGGCACACACACACACAGTAGAATATAGCATGGCAATATGCTTGTGAGCAAGTACTCATCTATTATAGATGAAAAGAATCCTGATTTACAAAGTCTATCTTAAAACAATCATTGTGAAAAATGATTATGCTCTTAAGTGGTTTATATTTATATTTTTTCATTGTCCTTAAAAGCATGTTCCTAGAGCAAAAGGTATTTTTCAACTCTCTCAACATTTGTCTATAAAATAGCCTGGGGCTGGTTGTAAACTATCAAGCTAATTTTTGCATTACCTCTCAAACAAAATCTAAAACTTTCAGGGGAATATTCTGTCGTCTAAATGTCTGGTATTTCACGTACTATTTATTTGAATGAATTTTCTAAAATAAATAAAGCTCAATATGAGAAAATGTGAAGGACTGATGCCATCGCGTGGTCAAAGCAAGTAATACAACACAAGGAGAGCACTGCAACTCAGTTTTCTGTCATTCAGAGTTGTGGTGACTGAAAATGATTCCTGGGAAGGTGGAACACGGCAGAACTCAGACACTGTAAGTACCTCAATCCCCTGTCTCATGACAGATATTGGATCTTCCATGTGTCACCCAGTGCAATGTGTACACCATGGGCCCCCTTTCTCCCCACCATTGTGTGTTATGCCACTTATGGATTTTAAAAAGTGCTAAAACCATTTCACCTATTTTGTTGACAATTGTTCTTTTTCTCCTTTTTCATCCAGATAAATAAAACTATTATCACATTCTCTTATATCTTAAACGTTTTCCCTTTTGCTCGCCCTTTCCACCCTGTTGTCATACTTAGCAAAATCAGGGTCTGTTTCCAAATAAACATCCATTCCTTAGACCATTTCCCTTCACACTGCCCTCCACAATACTAACACAATATCACAAGTCTTAAGTCAATTCTTTAACCAGTGTTCCTGTTGCACTTTATTGGCTTAGAATCCTCTATTTTTTCCTGTTATCAGATCCTAAGAATCAGAGTAGTGTCTGTAAACATCCTTGCTCCTAGAATTCCATGGCTTCAGATACTGGGTTTGCTACACTCTGTTCATAAATCATATTAACGTTTATCTCTCTCAGTTCACTGAACTAACACATTCATAGTACCTACACCAAGAATCATTGTAGTGTTAAAGTGAGGAATCCAAAAAAGGGGTAAGAAGTAAGCTTGTACATAATAATCACTATTCCGAAGTAAAGCCATTATTGCTACCCACAGGAGTATCCTGCTGTGTACAAAATGGACTCAGTGTTCAGTTCCGCAGTAGTCTTTATTTTTTCTGCTTCTCTAATGTATAATGTTTTCCCATCTAGACTCCATTAAAGGTCATTCTATAAGATTTAGCTCAGATGACAACTCAAGAAAAAGTTCGCAATCATAGCTTCTACCAAAAACTACTAGTAGTTTTCTCACATCCTAATTACAGTATAATTTCATTAACTATTATAAATAGAATTATCATTTATTTCAAAACCATTTGGATGGAGATTATTTAAGAAGGTACCAGTGATACCTGATAAATGACTGTGGAATTGAGCTGAATTGAAATAAACTTCTAAAAATTATTTTAAAGTATTTATTTATATGTACAGCAATTTGCCTGAATATATCCCTGCTGACCAGAAGAGGGCAACAGATCTCATTACAGATGGTTGTGAGCCACTATGTGGGTCCGGGGGATTGAACTCAGGACCTCTGGAAGAGCAGTCAGTGCTATTAACTGCTGAGCCATCTCCACAGCCCCTGAAGTCAACTTATTAGAAAAAGTTTTATTCCCCCTTACACAGCTATAATTTCCTTTTCTGTCTGGATTGTTTTTACATGTAAAGGACAATATATTCTGGATTTCCATGAGTTTACTTAATTATGTTAAATGTTATGATTTAATTACTTCATATTTAGTTATTTAAATAAGTTCCAATTTTTCTGTACGCTGATATTTTCCGGTAATAGCTGACTCTAAAAGATGGATATTGGTGTTCAAAAGATTGTTAAGTATTTAGAATCATTTATTGCTTTTACAGAGGATTCAGGTTGGGTTCCTGTTATGTACAGGATGACTCACAACCATCTATAACTCCAGTTTCAAAAGACCCACTGTCCTCTTCTGATCTCCCTGAGCACTAGGGAATGCCCATGGTGCCTATACATACATGTGGCGAATAACTCATGTACATATAATAAAATGCATGCATATAAAAATTTTAAATATCTTTAAAGACTGATATTATGAATATAGCTGCTGCTTTATTATGGGCCCCATATACTAAAAGGAACTTTTCGAAATGTGGCATATTTTTCCAGGATGATAGGTGAGTGTGAAGTTGGACCTGTGTCTACCGGAGGGAAGTGGGGATAAAAACTCTTTCTAAAACAAGGGACAGGAACAGGAAATCATGGAGGCTGTGCTAAACATGTGGGAGAATTCTTTTTAGCGAAGGAAAGGCTGAGTTTAGTTTTTGTCTCTATTCTATAGAGTAAATCAAGAGCATGTAAACTAAAGACCTGAATATAATATAAGCATAGCTGTCAGAATACAGGACCCCCAAATGCCCGCATAATGATTCTGGACCCTGTGAATATGTCAGTTTATGTGGCAAAGGTGATATTCATAGATACGGTTAAGGCTATGAACTTTCAAATAGGTAATGATCCTGGGTATGGCCTCTAGTCTAATCCCTTGAATCTTTGTAAGTGTCGTGTTCCCTTCCTCCCACATGTGTGTGGCGTCCTGCATTACCCATCTTCCTGATGTTACTGCTCTTCATCTTTAGAGACTGTCAGGTCTGATGCCCTTCCCAATGTAGTTCAGTGGTGAAGCAGTCAATCATTCAGCCATCCAGTATGAGCCTGTCCTGCAGATGCTGAGACCCTGCTCTGGCACTGAGCCTGTGCCTCCCTCCCACTGTTTTTCATGCAGTATGTCAGTGATAACCTCAGTCTGGAAAAGGAAAACTATTCACACTATCAAGTTTCCCCTGTAGAAGTCCATGACTTCTGCTCACCATCAGAGGAAAGCCCTTCATGGACCTTTTTGTAATCAGTGTCCTCCCCAAACTCTCAGACACATCTTAGTTGAGAATGTCCTTTTGCTATCACTTCTCAAGGTCATTGATAATATCAACATTATGCAAATATAAAATGAATTTCAATTGCCATTGATAATTTGCCACTGGACGTTCAGGAGACTGAAGGGATAATTGTTTTCAGAACACTGAGTTGAGGATTTATTAACTTCATAAACATAATTATCCTTCCCCCTAACCTTTCTGTACATATAAAGTAATACCTTTTTAAAATGAAAATGAGAATCATTATTTCGTTAGGTGAACTGGATCAAAGTAGTATTTCATGATTTGAGACTCACTATTCTACCTAATGAGAGTCTATGCACAATAAATATTTAAATAGTGAAGTGAAACAATGAAACTGGTCATCTATAAACTGAGAAAAGGAAATTGAAAATAAAATAAAATAAATGAGTCTACCAGCATTATTCTCATTGATTAGGCCCATGCATATCACAGATGACTTTTAATTAGTTGTATCTTGTATTTTTACTTGATAGATCATATGCCTTAACAATATAAAATCATTAAAATTTTTGTGTAACTACTCTGAAAAAAGCACTGGATTAATTTTTCTAATTTTTGCAGGCAGTTTACCATACATGTAACAAATTAATATATGCATCTTCACTCTAACTTTCAGAGCTATTGATGAGTTTAATTGTAAAATTAAAGTATATTTCTCATTTTATTTGTTTCTTTATTTCTATTTGTGTGTGTGTGTGTGTGTGTGTGTGTGTGTGTGTGTGTGTGTCTCAGAAAGGTAGGGGTGTGTGTTGGGGGCATGCAGAGGGAAGGCTTCAGTTTTTGATAAATGAAACCAAATGGAGAAACCTCCTCAGAATTCAGAATCCCAGAAAATGTGTTCATGTTTAGGGCCTGGAACACAATCTGGATTTAGTAGTTTTTCATATCTAAGTGTGAATCCTGAGCTCAAAGAAAAAATCATACTTGGGATTTCATTAGCATTTCAACAAAGAAAACATGTCTACATTATTCTCCAGGTGTTTGGGTTATGCCATTCATACAAGCAAATGAATTAACAATTGGTCCTCAACTGAGTCCTTGGAGAGTGGTAGAAACTTCAGGAAGTGGGAGCCCAGTCAGCTGTTTTAAGTCACAGAGATAAGATAGACTCAGTGAGAATTATGTGATATTTGCTTTTTTGTTTGATTTATTTTCACTTTAAAATTCTCACCTGTGATGGTTAGTGTTACCTGTCAATTTGACAGGCTCTTATCAATTATTATATAAGCTTGTAGGAATACCTGTTAAGTTGATTAGGTTTATTGATATTGGAAGTTTTATCTTAATTTTTGAGGGATCATTCCATGGACTGGGATGATGCAGTGTATAAAATGGTGAAAATAAGGTGTGCACAAGCTAGTCTCTACTCCCTGCTGATGAGTGTAATGGATCTCCTTAAACCTCTGGACCCTTGAGTTCCCTGTCATGGTGAATTCTTCTCCTGAACTATGAATTGAAATAAATCCTTTGTCCCTTGACTTGCTTTTTTTTGTGAAATTTACCATAGAGACAGGGAAACTAACATGCCAATCTCCATTTTATTATCAGCTTCTCCATAGCTCCTACTGTAGGGAAAGATCTTATGTACCTGTAGCACTGACCATGCCTGCTTGGGCGTGGTCACAGGCACCTAGAAGGCATGTGGAGTAAAGAGCTTAAAGGAAGGGAACTCTCTCTTTTCAGGCTGCAGTGACTAACCTGGATTTTCAGTTTCTCTTGTAAGTAATTTCTCACAATAAATAGCCAACAATATCCTTATACAGTGTACAGTTATATTTTTCAGCTGGTATCAGAAGGGCTCCATTCCCCATGCCCCAGAGTCCCCTTCCTCCTTGTTCCCTAATGGAGCTGAAGCGTGCATTCTGCCAAACGTGCACCTTGAGGGTCAATTCCCAGCACAACCACCTGCTTTGAACCACTGTCACTGACTTGGTGGCGCCTAGACTTCGGGCACGAATTTCCACTTAACAAAAAGTTTAAAAAGGGATTTTTAAAAACAGAAGAAGAGAGAGAAACATGGCTTCTTGGTAACAGCATTTTTCTCAGGTGGGCTCTGTTTTGCAGAGACTCGCACAACACCTTTAAGGAAATCTTCCTGAGTCACCATAAGCAGCAAAAACCAAAGGGCTATTGTAAGAGGCACCATGACCAAACCACTTAATCCAACTTGATGCATCTGAACTGACAATTACCAACCTAAAACCAGTTTGAGACTACATCACTCTAGACAACTCCAAACTAGCTAGCTGATATGGTGCACCTTCTTAATTACACTCTGGCCAGAACTTCAGTTAAGAATGTCAGTCAAACATCTCCTGTAAAACAGAGACTGGATACAATGTTGTAGCTAACCCACTCAAGACTTTCACTACTCAAAAATTTTCTTCCTACAATATCCATGAGATTATCCTTGTCCCATTTCAGCAGGAAAT